AGTTCCCCCAAGATTACAGGCACACCTTGTTGACGAGTGCCAAGTAGCACGAAACACGGGTCTAGGATTTCCTGGTGACTACCTCCAACTACCATCTAATCACAACTCAAGCGTATATATATAGCATAAAAATGTCATTGGAAAACGTTACAAAATAGCATACTAAAAGAGATAACGAACCAATAGTGCTTAAATTCCTCCCAAGTGGGAAATACAACATGAAGTTGAAAATGGATGCTTTTGGTGAGAAAACAAATAATTTAAATTTTTTGAAATATAATTACAAAGATAAGGCATTTATCAAGTGAACTCTAGGAATCTAACTTCCCCAACGCTAAACAATTCAATAGAAATTATTACATTTAAATTATGAAAATAAAGTCATGTTTTCAGAACATTTACCTATTTAAGTAAACGTTAAAATCAAGACATACACAGTACAGAAATGTAGCAATGTACTATTCAGTTATAACTGAGAACGCAAATATTACTGGCTTTAAACGACAGTGTTTACAATGATACAAATAAATTTATTTGTTTGTTGCTTGTAAATTCTACAAAAATCTGTTATTTCTCTCACTGTTAGTTTTATTAGTATATATGATTTGTGAACACCATTGAATTCTAACAGCTAATATCATAGACTGTCAATTCTAGGAAACGCTACATAACTATTTCGTCATAGTATGAGACTTCTTAGTTCTGGATATGCATAAAACCCGTTGAGATTAAAATCAGCAGCTTCAAGTTTTGCTATGTGAGATCACTCTTGAGAACGATGAGCCAGCTTTAGATGGTTGTATGTTATTTAATTTTGTTATCGAGGTTCATTACTGACCTAAGATGTTTACAGATCTAGGGACAAAACGATTAGGCTACTCCAATGCGATCAATTCTCTTTGAAATCGTCAATGGCTATTCACACATAACACATCAGATTCCTGACGACTAAGATAAGAAGGAAACGGATTAGAAGGAATTTGATATTCGAGGTAGGACAAGCAACACAAAACGAACTGCTTTATCTGTTGCTACAAAAGTAGCAAAATATGACCTTAAATCATGCAGAAATTTAGCGAGCTGGAAATAATGGTAACTAATTGGAGGGCAAAAGTAATGAGAGAATTCGGATTAGAAGAAAATGTGTGAGTGATGAGCGTTCCTGAAAAGATTTTACTAATTCTAATAAAATCCTATTATTCTTATGATCACTTTAGCACCATTCCTTTCTCGAAAATCTTTCTCTCCTCATGAAATTGTACAGCTTTCGTTCATTATTGTTTACTACCTCGTGGTTATAACTTTTAAGATTCATATTCATAGATTCATATCAAGAGCACTATTTAAAAAAAGGAAAGTGAGATTTTTCCTCATCGAGTACTTCTTTTAGATTTGATTGTGTCTTAATGTGTATAAGCTTCTTTAATAGTTATTTAGGTTGAATTTTCAGTTAAAGTAACATGGGAGTTTCAGTGAGAAAAATTTGCAACTCCAAAGTCCGCAGTGAAAGGAGATATTTACACGTCAAGCTAGCAGACAAAACGCAAGTTAATAACAAATGTTTTTTCAGGTTAATGATCAGACGAAAGCCTGCAAACTAAATACAGTGCATGTGAGGTGGAATGTCTGACCATTAGACATTTCACAAGGAACAATCTTAGGTCTACTCCTCTCCTTCATATTTACTAGCCAACGTTCTGATATAGCCAACTCATCGGCACTGATTTGTCTAGACGACACAAAAACCTGTAGGTTCATAAAGAGCAAAAACGATTCACTTGAGCTTCTGACGGACCTTGTAATAATAGAACAATCACACTTTCCATAGAATCCGCTCCCGGTCTCCTATTCAAAAATTAATCTCAGGCTTTTAGGCACAGAGGATGAAGTCAAGCCAAATGCAACTCTCCACGAAATGTATAGATAACTACGCACATTCATCACACAGTTGTTCCCAACACTGTCCAAAACATACGATATGCCCCACCTTGAAGTTCACAATACCACTGCGCTCTTTCCCTTCAAAATAGATGTAAATCTCTTACACCAAGTATAGTTTTGGGCAACCAAGTGGGTAATAGGGTGGAAGCATAAATCTTATGAAGACAAACTCCAGCACCTGAGAATGTCTTCACCCAGCTGTAGAAGAATAGGAAGTAAATTGATATCGGCATACAAAATATTAAATACTCCGAGATACCCCAACACCAGCATATTAATAGAAAATCACCACCACTCTGCTCAAGATACCACTCAAAAGACCGAACGTCAAAGAACGAACACTTAATTATGCTCTCACTTTTCTCATTAAGGGTTGCAACCATTCGGAATGCTCTCCTAGCTGAAGTGAGCACAGCACCCTCAGTCGATAGCTTTAGGAGGAGACTTGATAAACACGTACTCACTCATGGATTGCCATTTCCCTCTGGGATCAGCTGCACCTAGTGAATGTATCACAACTTACATTATGTCATCTCAACAACTCGTTTTTATACCTCTTATTGTCATCTCCGTTCCCCTCTTATTCGTTATATTGTGTCTTCCTTCACAATACCTATTAAATAAATTATTTATCCATCCTTGAGACGATTATATTCTCTTGGTAACCTTATCATCACTTTCCCTTTTCACATTGTAATCAACCAACCTCCTACCTGGTAGTGTGATAGCTGCCAGTATCTTAAGTCCACATAGATGAATATAGAAATCTACAAATGACTGCTAAACTAACTAGAATTATTGCAGTTAAGTAGCTTGATTACTACACACTGGACATTACCGAACACACGCAACCAGCAAGAAGTGAGTGCAAAAACATGTATCGGTTTCTCCAAACTCGTGATAAAGATATTAAAGAAAATGTGTTAGTGGTTATCGTCCCTGAATTGATGTTAGCAACTCTAATAAAGTTTGATTATTCTTGTGATTGCCTTGGAAGATTTACCTTTTCTAATTTTAACTAAAGATTTTTATGTTTATCTATACTCTTCATTTTCTTCAAAAAATATTCTTTTTTATTGTTTATTTAGTGACTGGTTATTGTTTTGTTTATTTGCCTCTGTGAAGCATTTTATAGTGTTAGAATTTATAATTAAGCAATATCTTACACAGTCGTAGTAGTACCTTTTTTCTAACAACTATGACATTTTGTAGGAGTTCGTGTCAATTATAACTGTAATTGATAAATCCCATATATGTCGAACAATTGAATTTCATATAAGCTTATACTCACATAGAAAATAAAATTACAATCCACAATCATCAGTCTATACATATTGAATGAAAATATATCGAGTTGATAAAATTCAAGAGGAAAAATGGAAACCAACACTCGTTCCATCCTTTTCCATCAAATTTATATATCACTAAGTATTTAATTACTTACTTAATTTTATCAGGAAACCATGTTTATACTAAATACGTGTCGCACTAGTGAACAAGAACACCGGTGAAGAAAATCGAATGTATTCAACATGAAAATACAGAGCATCTCAATGAAATCTGAGAATCATATAGTAAATCATTAATTTGCAAAATATCAATCAATCATCTCAAACTTAACTGTTCCTGTTGCAAACATCAATCCTTCGTCTCAGATTCCATCGTTTATTCGTTTTCTCGTTCTTTCCTCATCGACCCTCTACTGAACTACATTCTATGCCTGACCACCGTTATATATTACATGTGTGGGTATAAGTAACCCAAACCACACCTCTACCTTTCAGAATTTATTATTAAGGTTAGATATCATTCAAACACAATTGTAATGACTCATTACATAAATGTTACCTTGTCAATGAAGATAACAAAGTGATAAAACAAGGGTTCTGTAAAACATTGAACTTTTGAAATATTCAGTAGCAATTTAGTACTTTTAATGATGTCTTTTAAATTTCTACAAAGTTAAAAATATTATAATGATAGTCATTGGATTTAAATGGTTTGAAGAATATTCTTCATTGTGGTTGAATCGAGCGAACGCATGAATCTTTTTGGAGTGCGGTTTACACGGTGAAACTAAAATTCATAAACGAATCAATCAGATATAAGATAACAGATATTGGATTTAGAAGCAAAATTCCTTCATCTAATTAGCTAAATAGAGTTTTGACATTTTAGTTGATGTCACTTCGTGATGAAAACCCTAAATCTAATTTCCAACCCTAACCACCAACTATAGACAAAGATTCTAATTCTTTATACTGGTTTATAACCCTTATTTAGTCGTAATTATTAAGTAAACCCTCTCAAGGTCGGTCTAGTGTTGCTCAAACGTCGTCCATAAATTATAGTCTCACAGTTAGCATTCAAGTAAAACCTCCATTAAGATCTTAAAATTATTGGTTATTCACAGTTTCACATGTTTTACTCAAAATTTTACCATACAAATGACTTGTTAATTAAGTAATTGTGATGTACTTTGGTTTGTACTAGATTTCATTGAAAACCTACTTATTCAATGTTTTAAGTAGTATAGATAATTTAACATAATAATTCATGCATTAAATACTGATTTGTATTTCAGCTTTTAAAATACTTTCCTTTGAACAGTTAACTTTTGTTTATCTGATTTACTAACATTATGATTAAAATGATTAAATCTAATTCACACTGATACTTCATTTATGAGCATATAACAGTAGAAATTTCAATCGTTGAAATCATAAGTTAATTGAAGCTAGACCACTGTAGAAAACTTTGAAACACTGGACGATCATTTTGTCCTAGTATAGGACTCTTCAGCAGTCTAGCTTCAATTAACTCATGATTTCAACGATTGAAATTTCTAAAAAAAATCTCCACAAAAAAACCCCCTCTGATAATATAACAGTAGAGTTAATTAAGTTTAGATTTTAATGAAATTGTTATTATCTTATAAGAAGTAACTAAGATGTATAAAAAGCAAATATTCACAATGTATTTTTATTGATTTTATAAGTTATGTAATATGTTTACGAAGGGAAGCAAAAAAACCATAAAACGATCTGATTAGAAGGGGTTTATTTGTTTAGCGAAAAAATATTACGGGAGAAAAACAAACGAAAAAACAAACAAACAAAAAAAATATTGAGATGAACATTGATTTTTATTGGTCAATATTATTTCATATAACGAATTAAAATATTATCAATAAACCATTGATTAGTAAAATTTAAATGTTCACCAGTTTTTTCTATAAGATGTAAATCACCTCTTTTATCAAGTACTTTAAGTCCTAAACGGTCCTAAAAAAGAATTATAAGAATATATATGGGTGAATAAAAAAATGAATTAAAAACATTATAAAATACAAATTAAATTTATGAAAATTAAATGATAAAGAAAACTTTGATAAAATTATAAAAAGATTCAAACTAGTTGGGGAAGATATATCCCCAAAACTCATGTTTTTTTAAAAATTTTATCATATCGATTAACTTATCGATTAAATGATGGTGAACTCATTAATTAATGTTTAAAAATCTCCCATGACAATATCGATTATATATATTTGTATATATACGTTTTAAATTGTGTTTGTGAGCTCGCTCGTTTTTTGGCTGTTTGCAGAATATATTTTCCATACCAAGCTTGGACTTCTCCTTCTAGATAGCGGGGCTGGAATGCATCAATAGCTAGATTACTGATCTTTGGTTACTGAGTTTTGTTCTCGTTCACAGATTAAGTGAACTCGTGAAGCTTGTAACCTAACAAAACTAATAGTCAAATTGCAACTTGATCGATAACATTTGGTCTGCTCTAAGAAGAACTTGACATACATGACATTAATTATCATTCAATGATCAATCAGTTGTAGATTTAATGAAATTGTTTGGAAATAATACTTATTGAAAGAATATATTTGTTATAACTTAAGTGTTGATTTCTTGATATAGCGCGTATGACAAAACACTAGAACACCAAAACCCTTTCAAGTCGCAATAAGAAGACAGAAGACTAATGAAAAGAATATTATTCGAAACAGTGTCAATCATAGTACAAAATTGTCAGGTATTTATAGTTTTTAGTAAGAACAAAGTCATCATTACAGTCCTCCAATCCGCATACAGGGGGGCTATTAACATTGTTCAGTCGGGAAGCTACACGTAGGAATTCGAGAATATTCTTCCGAAAGGTCATTGGGTGGAACATCTTCGGCTCCTTCTGAGCCTTTTACAGCTTCCGCAAGTTCACCCGTGGTCCGTCGTCACGATATTACTTACAATGAAGATGATAATGATAGTTAATTTGATTTGCACTATGTTACAATAATCTGTTAATTGATTTCTATGTAATAATTATACTTGATCTAGTTTTTCTTTACGGATAAATACGAAAAATAATCAGTTGTTATCATTATACTATTAACTGAAACTTTGTCTGATTTATTTATTTGACTAGTTTTGTTAACTTTGATCTTCATGTTATTTAGTTAAGTTGGGATTTTTTTCGAATGCATTCACTTGATACATTTAACTTTAGTAAACGGAATACACCCATTAAGACAATAAATAAGAAAGATTGGTTCAGTGAAGAGTTCTCTTTTAGATGAGTTCATTTTCGAAGCTGAGCAATCGCAAGTATATATATACTAATTTTTGTCCGGATGATAATAATTGCAATAATAATAACAATAATAATAAACTTCTATTAAACATGGAGACAGTGAGGTAGAATAAACAAAGGTATTACAGTTTTTTTAAAACAGGGAAACTGATAATCGTTTGATTGGTAATGGCTTAAATATTCCTCAAAAGATAGATGGGGAAATTATCATTGGGAAAGGATAACTCAGCATGTTGAAACTGAGATTAAATGTAATCTGGTTTATTTCTGTTTCCACGATCCTCTTGATTACATTTATTCTCAATTTCATCATTTTATCTTACCATGATGGATCATCCTTTTCTATTGATAATTTCCCTATTTATCTTTATGATGAATAATTAAGCCATTAACAATCAAACGATTATTAGTTTCCTTGATTAAAAAAATGTTTTTTTCATACCTTCGTTTATTCTACCTCACTGTCCCCATGTATAATAGAAGTTTATTATCATTATTATTGTCATCCGGAAAAAAACTAGTATATATATATATATATATATATATATATATATATATACTTGTGATTGTACAGCTTTGAAAACGAACTCGCCTAAAAGAGAAATTTTCACTGAACCAATCTTTCGCATTTAACTCTGTTAAATTTGTTTAATCGCCTCACTAATTTAATTATGTAAACTAATGATCATGTCCGTTAAAGGTAGGATACAACTTAAAGGGAATAAATAGCCACCTTAAAAATGTCATATTGATCTCATATGTCCGATTAACTGACTTTTTCAACTGTTATACATCAGTATCATCAAACTGTGTTGGTTGTTTAAGAGAATTCGATTTTCTTTATTTGTTGTGAGAATCAACCATCAGAGAAATGTTTTCAAACAATGATCAGTTTCACCAATACTCTTTATCATTATTGTCCAATTTTATGATTTGACTAATAGGAAGGAAAGCTTCATAAAACAGAAGTTTAGTTAGTATATTTGAATTGATTACTTACTTCATTGTATAGAATACTATCTCGTAGCTTTATTATATCTGTTGATGATCCACGTCGATAGAATCCAAACCACTGAATTAAAATTCAATTCATAAATATTAACTATATTATTTAAAAAATTTTCAAAAATATATATGTATAAATATGTGAGATACATTGAGTGAATTCAAGAAACACAGGTAAGTATCGTATTATTTAAAACCAATGAGCTTCTTTTAGTAGAATATCAAATCATATTTTTCAGATAAATGTATTAGCTTTCACTGATAAACATCAAGATACATGATTAGTACATCTTTATATACCTTAGTTCTAATTAGGAAGATTAATAAATCATAAGTGTAGAATTGTTAGCAAGACTATAATTTATGGACGAACCAATCAGATTTAAGATAGCAAGTCTTGGATTTTAATGAGAAATTCATTGATCCATATGGCTAATCCGAATTTCGACATTATGGTTGGTGTCACTTCATGATGAGGACTTTAACACCAATTCTTAATCTTAACTTGCAATTCCAACTCCTAATCTTAGTTTCTCACACTGACCTTAGTAAAAGAATTTTCTCGTTTTAGCCCCTGTCAACGGTCGTTCATGTATTATAGTCTAATCGAATTATCTTAGGATTTCATTCAATATTAATCTTGACGATAGATAATCTGACATCATTGGAAATTGATCACATAGGAGATAAAACATGTTAGCCACATTTAAATGAATGACGAAATTAACGAATACTTGGTAAGTGTTTTTAGGATATTAACTCTTTAAATGCTAATCATAACGCTTAATAATATATTTGATCAAACCTTACTATGAAGTAGTACACTGTTCGGCATCCAGTAACTTGTATGTAAGCGTAACAAACTGATCACTTTCAAAGTGATTTCACAGCAACGTCATATCTTAAAAATGAATTTGACAAGTCGTGAACTCAAAATGTCAAGCATTTCTCAGAGACTTAAAATAATATTAATGAACTAGTATTTAGGATATTCATATCTAAGATGAAACAACAAGCAATTTAAAGACTATATATGTAACTTTATATATATTGTAGTTTGTATACATACTGATGATTCGCTGGGAAGTACTGTGGTGTCGTTGGTAAACTTCACCAATACTAATCGTTGAATTTTCTTCATATTTTCACGGTATGTTTCGTTTATTCGCTTAAATAAAAGGTAAAGAACGTTAAAATCATTAAACTCTATGTTAAAAACGATAATTGCTTAACTAATTCTTCTGAAGTTACTGAGATCATGAAATGATAAAGTGACAACTTGTCAGTAATTCTCCAGAAAATTCTATGGACGTTTACGGAAAGATGTAATCAGTAGCAACTGAATATTGGATATGAAGTGGAAGTCTAAAGTTAGAAAACGTTTAAATATCCACAAGCAGATTAATTATATACTAATATTTTAGAATACATTTATTTCATTTAGCTTTAAATTCATTCTTGCGTAACACCGAATAATATCAGTTTGTGAACTAATTAGTTTTAATGTGCTAAATAATAATAGAATCCGTGGTATCCTTGTGGATTGTAAGGTACTCGCACCTACGAGTTGACTATATCTGTCTGTAATTAAGCAGAAGAATAATAAAAGCATTACATTACAGAATAACTACGACCCAGATGTTATTTGGTATTTGAAATGGTCAGTGATTCACGGTGATCGTTATCAGACTTACTTTTTAAACACTGGAGATATGTGTCATTTTTATGGAATAAAGATTAGTTTTACTGATATTTTTAATTTTTTGCTTTTGATTTAACTTTCTACTACTACCAGTTCAGTTGCCAAACAAGAATATTTGTGAGTCTCCAAGTATCTATATACAAAAAGTAAGTGAAATCTCTTCGCTTATGTAAATTTATTGACATTGAAAGTTTGTAAAACTTTAAATTTTTCAGACTTTAGTTACACGAATTCATTCGTGATCAACAGTACTTACATTTTCCTGATTAATATCAGCTAAAAATCGAGAGTATTTGCGATAAACATTTTCTTTAAATGGATCATGCCAGTATTGTGCCGGGACAAAGCTTGTTATGTAGTAAACAAAATGAAAAAAAGAAGTGATGTTTAGTAACATGTCTGTGTATATAATATTGTAACAATTTAATTTTTTGATTTAGAGTGATTTTAGAAAAGACTTGAAGAGTATATTGAGGAAATTTCTATGATGTTTTATATTACTTATAATATTACTTAAAACAAACAAATTTTTAGATGACAGTATTTTGATTTAATGTTCTTACTTATATTACAGTGTGAGATATGTAAAATTCATGCGAAAAGATCTCAATTAAGCAGTGTAGTTTCCGAATGCAGTACTGGACTAGGTGTGCTTAAGTCAAGAAGTACGCATATATTTGATACAGGAAATCCATGTGAGGAGGTTTAACCAGATATTGAACAATACAATAAATTAGTAAAATTAGTAAATTCACAAAGACAACTCAAAATAATTTCTCTGAACCTCACCGATTTTGAATGTATTCAGTATACACTATATCAGATAAAAACTTATTTAACCATAAGCAATATGGAACAAAACCAGTATTGATGCATCTTGGAATCCCAAATATGCCCTGTTGAAGTCCTCCAATAGAAACAACTGTGCCGACTTTCGAAAAATTGCATTTTTGGACCAATGCTCTAACAAGCAGTCCGCCCTGTGATATACCAATCATGTGAAAACCATTGGAGAGTTTTTTATCTTTATGTAACATACGACAAACATAATCCAGTTGATCGTTAATCGAAAGAAATACCGTATCTCTAACATCCTATATAAAAATGAAGAAAAGATATAATTAAATATTGACAGGTTATTGAATAATGAAGAGCAAAGTTGTTTTATGCTGTTAAAAGCCAACAATGATATGATTCAAAGTTAACAAGTATGTAAATTGAAAAGAATATCTGAATTCCATAGTATTCTTAAAAAATACTCAAAAGTTATATTTTTATAAATAAATTTTAAATGCTGGACCAATTTTTGTTACAGATTAGTAACGAGTTCTACAAAAATCAGCTTACGGCAGAACTCCACTGTACACTAAAAGTATACAGATTTTAACAAGATATTTCTGGTATAAATAAAGTCTTCAAATGTTCTTTGATTTACAAATAGATAAAGGTAGCCTTATATATATATATATATATATATATATATATATATATATATATATATATATATATATATATATATATATATATATATACGTTGCACAGAATAACTAAAACACATTGAATCCAAACGGAGTAGAAAATATTGGATTCGAAAGAGATGATACTCTGCACATGCAGAAAGTTGCACTGACCAAAAAGAGGATAAAAAACACTTATAGGATGGGAATCAATGAAAATAGAATCATCAAAGTATCCTACAAAACAAAGGAGGGAATTATAACAAATGTTGCCCAAGATTCTGCATTCAACAATAAAGCAACGGCAAGGATAAAGATAATCTTTACTAGAGAATGCAATCGATCATAGTGAAGTGCCCAGAAAAGTACTTTATCATACTCATAGAAGACCTGAACGCGAAAAGTCTAAATGGACAACATCAGATATGAAGATATAATGGGACGACATGAACTCAGACAAATAAACGACAATGGTGGCAGAAGTCAAATTTATGCGCATTCAACAAAATGGGCACATGCAACTCTAAACTCCTTTAAAAACGCATGCACAAAACTACATTGATCTCACCGGATTGCACTAAAAAGAACCAGATCGAATATATTTGCATCAGTAGAAAGTTCAAAAGGACAATGAAAGACATCAGAACCAGGAAAGGTACTAAGATAACGTCATATCACCACCTGATGGTTGCCAACATGAAACTGAAGCTAAAGAAGTATTGGACAACTGGACAATCAGCATTACAACGGTTCAACACAGCCTTCTTTCGAGATGCTAACAAACTCAACCAATTCAAGTTAACTATCATCAACTGGCTCCAAGTCTCACATGATCTACCGGGAGAAGAAGAAATAACTATAAAGGACAACTGGAAAGGGATCAAAATAGCACCGAATTCAACGTGTTAGGAGGTTCTGGGCCACAACAAGTATCATCATAAGGAATGTATCTCTACCAAAATCCTAAACAAGATTTAAGAAATTAAGAGCAAGAAGACAGCAATTAACGAAAGCCAAACAAGAGCAGAGAAAGTCAAGGAAAAAGCTGAATACACAAAAGCAAACAATCAAGTGTATAGGAAAATTAGAGCCGACAAGCAGAAATACGCGGAAGACCCAGGAACGACAGTGGAACGAGCTGCTAAAGAAGGAAATGTCGAACAACCATATAAAACGACGAAGAAGCTGACACAAAAATATGGTAAACCAAAGAGACGGAAGAAAGCAACATGGCCATCAGACAAATCAATAACAGGTAAGCAGCAGGACTTGACAATGTGCCACATGAAGGACTAAAGTCGGACATAGCGGTTACTGCAACCGTGCTCCACGTTCTATTCGGAAAGATTTGGAAAGAAGAATAAGTGCTTTTGTTTACTTTTTCGATTTGTTATATTGCTTAAAAAAGCTTTGTTGTACCCAGAAAACATATAAAAGCTCAGCACTGTGAGAAAACACATATTTGAAAATAAAGTCGCCGAGAAGTTATATTTCAGCTAAACCGTTTTTTTATTTTTTTAACTTCATTCTCCAAAATATGTAATGATTATATAATATAGAAACCGACTTATGTAATAACGATACGTTTTTCAAGAAAGTAAATAACTCTAATGATTTCGATGCTTCAAGTTCCTTCTATATCATTTAATAAACTATTTTGGGTTCTATATAATAATTCTCATATCTTAATAAATGAATCAGTGAATAGTCATGCTCATATGTGTTGGAATATAGACTGATCTTTACTTACCGAATATGGTCATAACATAATACAACCTTACAATGAATAAAACACTTTGGAAATCTAAAATCTTATGTTTAAGAGAGTGATGCTCATTTCTTACACCAAATCTTAAATAAATTTTGAGGAGTCAGTGTTACGTCTGAACTTTGAAGGATCAGGCTTCGTATTCGTGATCTCAAAATAGTAACATTAGGGGACTTCCTTTGTAAAGAGACGGACCAGCCAATTTTAGTGGTTTCTTTATTCAAAACCAGTTGCTTTTATAATAATTAATCGACAATAACCATCTTATAAGGCCTTGATTTAAAGTCAGTTAACAATGCTTTTAGTGCGTGAAAAGCCCCAAGAGTGACAAAAATGGTAAAATTATATTATACGGGCAATAAAATGTAGGAAAATATATAGCAGGAGCCATGTTATTAAGAACTATATATGAGATGACTTTGTGGTAGTTTTGGTTTGTGTGTTATGTTGGTCAATTCTAAGGGCATGTGTGAGAATTTGCCCAACCCAAATGAGGTAATAACTGCTGTTTAGGCGTGTCCTCTGGCGCTACTGGAATGCGATAATAATTTATGTCCTGATCAGTCTTTGAAACTATGGTGACATTTTCTATATCATAGTATTGTCGTGGACGTGTGGTATCGGATATTGATTAGTTACTATCTGTCTGTTAAGATTTCGAACTTCTTCCCTAATGTATCTGTTCTTTCTCAGGACTATATGCGATGATGATGACTAAAACCTTTAAGAAGGGCGTATGATGCCTAAATTTATAAGACTGTTGAGTTTGTTGTTAACAACACCTAGGCTTCCAGGATGAAAGCACCAAGAATGTGTGAAGATTGGGCGTCCACTAATAACAATGTGATATACAACGCTGTTTCGAATGTTTTTGTTTAGAAGTTGATTATAACAGGTTGATCAACCATTTCAATGGGTTAATATACATGTCACCGTTGAGTTGTTTATTAACTAATTGGTGCACGGATGTTTCTGTGGATGTCGCTTATCCAATGTGGATTTTTCAACTGATGCATACTAGCTTACGGCGTTTTGTGTTCACTATTGGTTTACGAAACTTTAAGAAATCGATGCCGATCATAGGTGTAGAGATGTCGGTTTTGATAAAGTTCCAAAATAATACGTATTGTTCTCAAATACTAGTATCAAGTGTCTTCTCCCATGGGTTCTTATGAGGAGGCGATTAGCTGCCTTTTGTTGATTAGACACTGTACCCTTGTCTTCTTGTCTGTAAAATACAAAAGAGGACTACATGGAGGGCCATGATCGACGACGGAGGCCTTGGTTTGTCGTCGACTGTTGCCGAATAAACGCGGATTCGACTGTCTTCTAGCGGTGGTACTGAACCTAAAGTAATATCAAAAAGTTTAAGGGCAACTAGTGCAGTACAACGTTTTCGGTGATCTATTGGCCAAGTTACGGGAGGTTTGTCTAAGGATGACGTGTATATCAATGGACTGTTAGGAGCTGATAAGACGGTGGACGATCATCTTAAACAACCAAGATCGTTATTTATGAGGTTTCAGGAACACGGGATCTTTTTAACACTGAAAAGAGCAAATATGGAAAAGTGGTTTCTCGAGATATCATTCCAGTTCCGGCGTTCGTTGGTTCTATCCGAATCTATCTAAAACCCAAATCACAGGAGAAAATACGGTGATTTTTCAGACCAATAAATAATTATAGACAATTTATCCCAAACTGTGCAGAAATATTACAAACACTAACCGACTCCTTGAGAAGACGTTTCTCGACACCACCTACTACTGGAGTTTATTCGAGAGACATCTGAATAGTTAGATGATGCTCGTTCAATGAGAAAAAAGCTCTGTTAGCCGTCATGACTGACGCACTGAACGTAGCAGTAGGATCTGTGTGGCGATGGTATGCAAATTAAGCGAGGGAATTACTTTCATTCGCTTCCGAATAGGTAGAGTCCTACCTAAGTGGGGTTCAGAAAATTTATAAAAGAATCGCTGGTGATTCACCTGGTAATGAAACATTCCCGACATATTTTAGAGAGTACCACTTTCACCGTGTATGCAGACAATTAAACTCTCACGAAAACGTTAGACGTCAAATAAGATAATTATTTGCCGCAAGAAATTAGACAATTAGAATTCGTTTCCCGATTGACTTCCAGCGTACTATATATTAAAGGGAACAATAATG